AGATAGATAGATAGATAGATAGATAGATAGATAGATAGATAGATAGAACACAGAACAGGAAATCTATATGAATTCTGAATCAGCATTATTATATATTGATATTTTAAATAACTATAATATTTTAATTGATATTATCAAAAATATTCTATCAATAATATTATTTTTATCAACAATTTTATGTAATCTTTATTATATCTGCAGTGATGTAATGCTGTTTACATCCATGCCTTTATTTTGTAATGTTGCAAAAAAAAAAAAATCGGTCTGCATCATTTATTAGCCAGCACACGTGATGGCGCCACCGAGTAAAGCAGCATTTCCTGTTGTATGTTAATTTACTGTTTAAGATTTTTTTAAACCTAACAAAGTCAGATCGAGCCTGTTTTAAGGTGACCCCTCCTCTCGCTGACAAAACCATAGATGTCATATAAAAGTGTTTATATGATATCTGTGGACAAAACGCTTTCGCCTCCATTTGCTAGATGAACTCCTCCCAAGTCTTCACTTTTAGATGCCGGCAGAACTGTAGAGAGCGGACCCTGTGAGCTCATTATTATGGCAGCTTTAAGGTCCTAACAGGACATTATAACTCACAGAGGGTTTGGGCTTTTCTTTAACACAAAAGCTCACTAAAATTGCTTATGTCAAGTTTATCATTCTTATAATTTAGCGAACACATTTACACATTATTGCTTATTTGATTTTTTTATCAGCTGTAAATATTTTAAATTCGTTCTTTCAGGACCTTGACGCATCGTTTCCATTCAGCCATTGAAGTGGGAAGAGTAGGGTCCATACTGTTATGGTTCATGCGCGACCTGTCCGCGCATTCACAGGGAAAATGACGCTATTTAAATTATTTTAGGAGTCATCCCAGGTTGTAAGGTGAAAGTAATCGGTCGGCCGGTGTCATCGGGGAGCAGCACGATGTCTGGAGCAGCCGCTGGGGGAGGAGGAGGCTCCCCGTGCTTGGGCGCAGCGGCGGCGGCCAGTTGCAGCTCCGCCGTCTCTCCCTACGCTTCCGCGGCGGGCGGGGGCGCAGGTGTGGCCGGGAGGCTGCCAGCTCGAGTGCTGGAGCACATTTTCACCTATCTGGAGCTGTCCGACCTGATGCGGTGCTCGCTGGTCTGCTGGCACTGGTACAACATCGTGGCGGACGAGAACAGCGAGGTGTGGCGCAGCCTCTGCAGCCGGAGCCTGAGCGACGAGGCTCTGCGCGCCGACATCCTGTGCAACCTGCCGACATACAAGGGCAAAGTAGGTCCACAATGCTCAGGAATGGCAGGAATGTGAAAAATGGTAACTTATAATTAAAAAAAAACAAAACAGCATGTTCACTGATGGTTGTTGTGCAAACTATGATTATGAATCTGAAACCAGAACATTTTGTGCTGTTAAAATAAAATGCTCTGTGGTTTTTGCATGATGGTTAATAACCGTTTTGACCAAATTATGTACAATCTAATGGGGAATGTGGGATAGTTGCAAGCTGCTCGGAGTATGTGTTGGGAGTGACTCTCAGCGACTACCACACCAAATTTCACCTCGGTAGCTTTAACTACGGCTAAACTAGAGCCACTTTTTGTGTTTTCTTAGCTCGATTAGCGGTGGTAGCCATCTTGAACTGAGCTTAATTCAACAGTTAAATGGATGCAGGCGTAAAATCTGAGAGATTTCTGTAAAAGAACAACAGCTGCAGGAAAAAAAAAGCTCTGCAGAAAGTGGTGAAGGCTGCACAGAAGTCTGTTAGAGTCAGCCTCCCCACCATCACAGACGTCTACACCTCCAGATGCAGGAAGAAGGCCACCTGCATCATGAAGGACACCACTCACCCAACACACACACTTTTTTCCCCATTCCCCTCAGGAAGGAGATTGAGGAGCATTAAGTGCAGAACCACTAGACTGAGGAACAGCTTCTACCCTGAGGCTGTTGGACTCATGAATCTCTAATCAGGATAATCACTGTGAAAAATCACATCAAGTTGCTGCTGATCTGTTTCATGTTGCTGCTGATCTGTTTCATGTTGCTGCTGATCTGTTTCATGTTGCTGTGTTCATTCGTGCTCATCTGCTCACACAGACTCATGTTCGTGCTGCTGTTCGGCGTGTTGCGTTTATTGTTTTTATGCTATTAGTGTTTAGCGTATATTTAGCTGATGTTTTTCTTAGTTCATATCTTAGATCTTATTACTTTTTCTTTTACATTTTATTGTTTGATATAACTGGGACCCTGTGTACATAATTTTGTTCCACCACATGTACCACATGTGGTACGAATGACAGTAAAGAATCTCAGAAAATCCAGAATTGCTCGACGCATCTAGTGGACGTAGGAAGTTCGGTGGCCTCAGGATTCTCTCTGTTTGCAGATGATGTGGTCCTGTTGGCGTCATAATGCCACGATCTTCTGCTCTTTACTGCAACAGTTCTCAGCCGAGTGTGACGGGGCTGGGATGAGAATCAGCACCTTCAAATCTGACGCCATGGTCCTAAGTTGGAAAACTCCGAGTTAGGAATCAGGTTTTGCCTCAAAGTGGAACAGTTCGAGTATCTTCGGGTTTTGTTCACAAATGAGGGAAGAACAGAGCGTGAAATCAACGGACAGGTCGGTGCAGTTTACGCAGTGTTGCAGACTGTGCCGGTCCGTTGTGGTGAAGAGTGGGTTGAGCTGCAAGGCGAAGTTCTCCGTTTACCAGTCGGTCTACTTTCTTACCTTCAGCGGTCGTGAAATCTGGGTAGCGACAGAAAGAAGCACATCACAGATACAAGCGGCCTAAAAGAGTTTTCTCTGCGGGGTCGCGGCTCCTTTAGAGATAGAGTGAGAAGTTCAGTTATCTAGGAGTGACTCGGAGTAGAACCGCTGCTCCTCCTCATCCAGGTGAGCCAGTTGAGGTGGTTTGGACATCTGGTAAGGATGGACCCAGGGCGACTCCCTAGGAAAGTGCTCCGAGCATGTCTGACTGAGAGGACACCCGGTGGGTGTCAAACTCAGTTACCAAGAGGAGCCAAAACTTTAAACATTGTCTGAACCACGGGCCACTTTCAGCCGATCCATTAACTCCAGTCAGATACCAGATATCTCTTCTTGGTTGCAGGTTCAGGAACAAGAGTTAAATCTGTTTCACTTGACGTCCTGTTCTTTCCACATCAGAATCAGTAATGACAGAATGATCCAGCAATCTTTCTGGCTTCAAAGGTATTCAGCTGACAAGAGAAGTCTACACTAAATTATGTATTCACCAGTTGTTTTAAAGAAAAATTTGAAATTACTTTTAAATTATCATCTTGGGGGGGGGGGGGGGGGACCAGATTTATCCCGTATCTCTTGAGTTTGACATATGTGCAAGTGTCCTGGGAACCACTGGGAATCCTCCCAAAACGGCTAGAAGAGGTGGCTGTAGAAAGAAATCCGAGTCCAGAGCGAGCACAAGATGACGGTTGAATGTAAAATCCATTGAGCGGTTATAAATATTTCATAGCAGCAGTCCATTAAGTGATCGATATCCTGTGCTTCTCCACAGATCAAGGCTTACCAGCATGCCCTGAGTTCCCACGACTGCTCCCGCAACGTCTTTGTGAAGAAGAATGGCTTCACCCTGCACCGCAACCCCATCGCCCAGAGCACGGATGGAGCGCGGGGCAAAATCGGCTTCACGGAGGGGCGGCACGCCTGGGAGATCTGGTGGGAGGGCCCCCTCGGCACCGTGGCAGTGATAGGCATCGCCACGAAGAGGGCGTCCATGCAGTGCCAAGGCTACGTGGCCCTGCTGGGCAGCGACGACCAGAGCTGGGGCTGGAACCTGGTCGACAACAACCTGCTTCACAACGGAGAGGTCAACGGAAATTTCCCACAATGCAACAATGCGCCCAAATATCAGGTTAGAAAGAAAAGATTGTGATATGAGTTTAAAGGTATTCAAGTCTTCAAGGCAAAATATGGCATCCAATTTTAAAAAGTTTATCCTGAACTCGATCAAAGATACATTCAATCAAAGGTTATCGTAAACTACATTAGAAGTTATCCTGAACTACATTAACGAGTACAGTAGTCCCTCGTTAATCGCGGGAGTTACGTTCCAAACACCTCTGCAATAAGGAAAAAACTGTGAAGTAGGAACATTATATTTATTTTAGTATTTATATATATTTTAAGGATTTAGACACCCTTCCTACACTCTTGCAACGTTCTAAACTCTTAAACCTATGTAATTTTAACAACATACTAACAGTATATGTACTGTCTCTGCATCCAGTGAGCGCCGAAGTCTTTATGAATAAAGACCAAACTTTTTCGAATCTGATCCAAACTTTCCCTCTATTTCAGCAGAAAGCAGTGGCCGGAAGCACTGTTGGCTTATGGGTAGTGTAGTTCTTTTGACTGGCGATACAGTGTAGGCCTATTATGAGAAAACTACAAAATGGCAGAACCTGTTCGAAGTATTTTTTTCCCGTTAACTTTTTACTGTATCCCGTACTGTCCCAATCATGTGAGTAATATTAAAGTTGACAATCGTTTTCCGGTACAATCTTACTTTGGAAAAAACGCGAAAGAGCGAGTCCGCAAAAGTCAAACTGCGAAGTAGCGAGGGACTACTCTATACTAAAGTACTTGCATTGGTCTGGTCATTGTCTGTTTGGGTAAACAAATATGGCCGTAGGTTTGACCTATTTTCAGACACTTTGACTTTTTTTGTTGGTTAACAAACCAGTGTGGTTTGTTTGCATCCATTCACAAATTTTGCTTACAGATACTAGATTGTATAGATTTGATTTTTTTACCTTTTTTCTGGTCTTTAGGACCTTGTAATGACTTTCCAACCTGAAAATAAAATGTGATTATTTTTATCCACAGATCGGGGAAAGGATACGGGTGATTTTAGACATGGATGACAAGACTTTAGCATTTGAGAGGGGGTTTGAGTTCCTCGGAGTGGCGTTTCGTGGACTGCCCAAAGTCTGCCTGTTCCCGGCCGTCTCCGCCGTGTACGGCAACACGGAGGTCACCATGGTTTATCTGGGCAAACCCCTGGACGGGTGAAGGTGGGCCTCCGTTAAAATCTGAGAAGGTTGGGAAGGTTTCGTCGCCGCTGCCCACTGGGTGTTCACAGGTTACGGAGGTTGAGTGCTTCCGCTTCTTCCAAACACAAAAAACTTTTTTTTGAATTTAAAAAGGAGACTTTATTATGTACAACTCTACGTGAACTCGAAGGCGAGTTCAAACCGCCGTGAAAAGGACAACATCATCGACGTAGAGCAGTCCACTTTTACAGACTGGTGGTTTTATTTCATACCTTTGAGGCTAACCGTGCTAAACCCGTCTGCTAGAACGAGGCCAAAACTACTCTGAGCTGTGGCAAATACTTTAAGCAGATAAACTGTTTGATGTATAAATTATTGAAAAACAAACTCTGGATTTTACAGTTTAACTATATTCATTGATTGGATTGTAATGAATGTATGCCAAATCTTTACCTGTTATACTTTAATGTAAAAGGACAGAGTGTCATGTGCATTAACTTTTAAAGAACCCATCCAATAATGGTGCAAACTAGACCCGTTTGTCCCTTTTTATTGTGCTACTCTAGTATTACATGTTATTTATTAAGTGATTTTATCTCTGGTACTATGCTGTAGATACTGTACGGTTATAGGACCTGAAAATAAAGTCTTCATGGTGCCACTATGTGCGTGAAGATGCTGTGAGTTTGTAAATTGTATGTACTGTATGTGCTTTGTTGGGCCTCTGGTCATGAAGCAATCTACAGAAATCAAATGAACTTTAAAACAATTAGCAATAATAAAGATACTTGTTGCAAACTATGAAATCAAGCATTAAGACTAAATTGAACTTTATGAAATGAGTGCAGCTTGAAATAGTTTACTTTAGTAGTTTTCCAATATTCAAGATGGAGGTGGGAGTGCATCAAGGATCGGTTCTGAGCCCCTTCCTATTTGTTCTGGTGATGGACCGGCTAGGTCAGGCAGGAGTCCTCGTGGACTATGATGTTTGCAGATGATGTGATCTGTGGTGAGAACAGGGAGCTTAGAGAGGTGGAGGTATGCACTTGAAAGGAGAGGGATGAAAGTCTGTCGTAGTAGGACAAAAGAGTATTGAAAGAGAGGAGGTGGAACAGTGAAGCTACAAGGAGCAGGACTTCAAGGACTTGGGGTCCACTGTCCAGGAAAATAGGGAGTGTGGTAAAGAAGTGAAGAAGAGAGTCCAGGCAGGATGGAGAAAAGTTTCTGGAGTGATTTGTGACAAAAGGGTGTCAGCAAAGTTCAAAGGAAAAGTTTACAAGACAGTGGTGAGACCAGCTATGTTGTATGATCTGGCGACAGATGAAGATGTTGAGGTTCTCCTTAGAAGTGACAAGGATGGATAAAATTAGGAACAAGATCATCAGAGATACAGCACAGATTGAACAACTGGGAGATAAAGTTAAAAAGGCCAGACTGAGATGGTTTGGACATGTCCAGAGGAGGGACAGTGGGTATACTGGTAGAAGGATGTTAGAAATGCAGCAAATATGAGATATATGGAGGCAGTTAAAGAGGACATGGAGGAGGAGGACTTGCTGTGGAGACCCCTCAAGAAGAAACAGCTGAAAGAAAACAATATGCAAATGAAATCTGGGTATGCACTCCTTGTAAACAAAGCAAAACATAAACATAAGACCTTAAACCAGTTTCTCCTGTACAAACCTGTACATGGAGAAGGTAGAAAAGAGCCTTGATGTCCTGTTCAGGGACACCACCAAGTCATTGGTTCAGGTATGTTGACGACACCTGGGTTAAAATTAAATCTCAGGAAGTTCAACATTTTACTGACCACATCAACTCTGTGGATAAATACATCAAGTTCACACGAGAAGATGTAAAAAATGGCAGGTTGGCTTTCTTGGACTGTGAGGTCTCAGTCTCTGATGGAGGACATTTGCAAACTGAGGTGTACCATAGACCCACCCACACAGACCAGTATTTGCAGTTTGACTCCCATCACCCTTTGGAGCACAAGTTAGGAGTCATCAGGACTCTGTATCACAGAGCAGACAGCGTCCCCACTAGCTCAGGAGCCAGGCAGAAGGAGAAATCCCACACAAGACCGGCTCTAGAGCAATGTGGATATCCTAACTGGGCCTTCCTGAAAGCAGAGAAGAAACCCAAACAGGACTCCAGTCAGCCAACAGGTGAAAAGGAGGAACCCAGACCCAGACCAGTGGTCATTCCATATGTTGAGGGAGTATCAGAGAAACTGAGACGTTTATTTTCTAAACATAACGTCCCAGTGGCTTTTAAACCCCAAAATACATTACGGCAAAGACTGGTTCATCCCAAAGATCCAGTCCCCTGGCACAAACAGAGTAATGTGTATATTGTTCAGTGTCAGGAGGGTGATCAGTCTTACATCGGGGAAACAAAACAGCCACTGGCCAAAAGGATGGCCCAGCACAGAAGATCAACATCATCAGGCCAGGACTCTGCGGTCTACACTCATCTCCAGGCCAGCGGTCACTCTTTCAGGGATAAAGATGTTCACATCCTGGACAGAGAGGAACGATGGTTTGAGAGAGGAGTAAAGGAGGCCATCTTTGTGAAAAGAAACCGTCCATCATTAAACGGGTGGAGGCCTCCGGGTTCAACTGTCCCCCTCTTACAATGCTGTGATTGCTAGTATCACTCAACCCTCTGTGAATAGTAAACAGCCATCAGTGTGCTAATGATCCATTGTTAGGCTGATGGTCCTTCTTGAGCATGTGAACTAGTTCTGGATGTCACCACCTTCTCATCTACTAAGGTGCTGCTAATAAGACTGAGTTTGTTGCAGCTCCTCAGACTGAAGAAGTCTTCTGGATAAAAGACGAAACATTTCAACAAAGAAGATTCTGACCAGTGGACCTGGCTCGTCTTTGTTAAAGACCTGTCAAACTCCAGGCCTCGAGGGCCACAGTCCTGCAACTTTTAGATGCGTCTCTGATGCCACACAGCTGAATCATATGACTGAATTAGCTTCTCGGTGCAGTCAAGTTCTCCAAAGTCCTGCTAATGACCTCCTTATTGGATTCAGCCGTGTGGCATCAGAGACGCATCTCAAAGTTGCAGGACTCTGGAGTTTGACACCTGTTCTAGACCAATTCGGCTCCCAGTGTAAAGAACCATAGACGTTTATAAATCAATGTTTCTACACACAAGGAAGTGTTTTTAATAAGCTGCTTTATCACCTGAATGTTTTCAGACAGTTTAACCACTTCATTAGAATTAGGAAACAACATGACACCGTGTGACATTTCACCTGCATGGCCACTAGAGGTCGCTTCCTCCTCAAACTAAATTATAGTCCCTCTTTTGTGAGAGGCCAGTCTGAAACCAGCTTAGTTCCCAGTAACTTTTATAACATATTTGAGGTAAAAAGAGCACATTCCATAGTATAGATTTATCTCTTCAGATATATTTTCATCTTTATTTCTATTAAATGTTAATTATTTTGTGCACTGATAGACTTGTTGAATCTGTGGTCATACCTATATATCCACTTTAATTAGTTAGTGTTTAAATGTATAATTTACTGACCTTTACATTGGTTTATTATCTCAACATCTCACCATCAAACTTGAGAAACTAAAAAAAACTGCACTGAATTCAGGTTTTTATTTTAATTTTATTGTTTTTAAGACGTTTTTTTGCTACTTCTTTCTCAGCTTTATGAATAAAATTCAACAGTACTTCTGCAAACCCTTAATATAGCTGATGATTAATGATGATTAAGCTACTCATAAGCTTCAACCTACAGCTTTTAAAGTTACATTTTGGACATTAGGAAGTGGGGCTCCATGGAAGAGATATGAGCAGTTAATATCTTACCTGTTGCCATGTCAAAGCAGCTTCAACCTCTAATATTTCACAGCAAATGCAAACACTGTTTCCCCATCTTTACACTGTTGTCACTTTCAAGTTAAACAATTATTTACGGGTTTATTGGAAGCACAAGCAGCAGCAGCAGCTGGTTGGGACCCTTCCAGCGCAGCCTGGGGCACTTCCTGCTGGGATAGCATAATATTTCTGCCAAAACAACCATATAATGCAAAACTGTCAGATTTACTGTAAATATCAGCGTGAACGGTTCTGTTCAAAAGGCGGCTTTGGAAAGTCATAAAGATGGGTCAAAATGTCTTTCATCTTGATGGTTTCAAGTTTAAACTTCTGAGGAAAACTTGTAACCAGTTGCCAACCGCCGTGTGCGTTTGTTTATACGGAAACAGCCGAAGCGAGGCGAAGCCCATTGAAAAGCCATTTGGGATTTAAAAAAAATAAAAAATTATTTGTTTGATTTGTGCATATTTATGTTTAGATATGCCTAAAGAATGCAGACTGTTTTAGAAATCAAACTACCGGTACAAAGAAATAGACGTTGAAAACTTATTTGTGTAGAAGGAAAACAGTCTGAAAAAACCAAACTACGCTAAATTTTCAAAGGAGTCTCCGAAAGGTCTCAGAGTTTTTTGAGTGTTCTTAATTTCTACACGTGAGGCGTCGGGCCTCGCTTTCCATAATACTTGAACTTTGGGTATGTTTTTAAAATCTGGGCGACTCTTTTCCTCAAAATAGTCACTGAGCTGTCACAGGCATCTCAAACCAGTCTCGAACCAGTCTCAATTCAGTTTCTTAAGTCAGAAAATATAACATAAAACAACTTTGGGAGGGTCTGATGAGCTATGAAATTATAAATTGTTACTGATTGGAAACAAATTAAAAAAAAGATAAACTGAGTCATAAATACGACACTTTGCAAAAAAATGTGCAATTCCCCAGTCGTGTACGTACGCAATCCCTAGTGAGGACCAATAAAGTGAGATTCCAGGTACAAAAGTGTGTACTTCTTGCAGCTTTTTGTCTCCAAATTGTCACAAATGGACAGCGCCCAGTACTGAGATTGGAGTTCCACAGAGGTGTGTATTTGGGCAAACACATTTTGCTTTATACATTCCTCCTTTCTGAAGCGACATGGTAGCTCGGTGGTCGGTACCGCAGTCCTGTGATAATGAGGCTGCAGGTTGGAGTTCAGGTTGCATCAGAAAGGACAATTGCTAAATATTTCATATGAGTTTGCTCGCGGTGATGACCAGCGAAAAAAGAAGCGGCCGAAAGAAAAGCAACAACATGTCTCCGTTCTGTAACAACAACACAGCATAAAGTTTAAGGACAAAAATGTGGACGACTCAGATGAAATATAAAATGTTTACATAAACGCCTAAGAAACTAATGAGTCGATCATGTTTATTTCAATAGATAGGGGCACCTTCCAACCACTTCCCCTACAAAGTGTTCGTTTCTTTTCTTAGACGCTGCTGACTTATATGGACTTCACATGCTTTTTGCCACACATCCCCCTCAGCCGAAAAAAAAAAAAAAAACAGAATTGAAAGACAACCTAACCGTGGCTTAATATGGCTGCTGGGGGGGGGGTCATCATGCTGCTTGACCAAAGTTTGCTAAAAGAAGAAGAAAAATTAGCCTAAGATCAATATCAGATGTTTTA